CCACCTCCCCCACACACCATGGGCCCCTTCCCACCACCTCCACCCCCGGCTGTCCCTCTTCCCCCCTCAGCGCCTGATGGTCCAGCCCTCCCCACCAAGAGAAAGACAGTGAAACTCTTCTGGCGGGAGCTGAAGCTGGCTGGCTCTGCAGGCTCTGGAAGCCGCTTTGGGCCCTGCCCCACCCTGTGGGCCTCACTAGAGCCTGTCTCGGTGGACACAGCCCGGCTGGAACATCTGTTTGAGTCTCGCGCCAAAGATGTACTGCCCTCCAAGGTAAACCCATTGATCTGCAAGGTAACCCCAGTGGAGGTAAGAGGGAATCAGAGCTCAAGGGTCTGAGCTGTTGGAGCTAAACACTTGTTTCCCACATGGGGGGACCGAGGCAAAGAAAGGACTACAGGTATCAACAGAGCACTAACTAGCATCTAAACTCATTCCCATGCCTCACACAGCCCACATCCCCAGTTGTGGGACTGTTTGGACATTTACTTAGTTTTAATTACCAGGGGCACATACATTCACCAGAGACGGGGGTGGGGGAGGACACCCCCGATGGAATGTGGTCATGCTACAATCCTTTTTCCTCTGTATCTCCATTCTATTATAAGGCACATAAGAATACATGCCCAATGTTTTTCTTTCTTCTTTTAAGGTTTCTGCCATAGGCACATGTGCTCATCAGGGAAAGAGAGATAGGGAAAGTGAGAAATTACCCCCCCAGGGGGACGGGGACAATAGCCATGCTGCAATCCCCTCTCTTGCATTTTCCTCCTGGATTTTGGGCGTGCACACACACATGCCCAGCGTGATTTTCAAGCCTCTAGTTCTGGGATTTGAACTGTGATTAGACATGTGGGAGTCCAGCACCTTAACCACTACACCACCTGCTGGCCCACCTGGTGTTTTTTTTCAAGCCACCAGGGCCAAGATTTGAACCACAGCTGTGTGGGTTCTGGCTCCCTCAACCACGAGGCTGTGGGACCAGCCCTCATTTGGCCATTTAGAGAAGGGCCTCGAAGTGTCATCTTAGACTGCTGCTCCTGCTAGTCCCTTTCCCAATCTCACTACTCTCCCCTCAACCTTGCAGAAAGCTGGTGAGGGCCGCCGGACAATGACTACAGTGCTGGACCCCAAGCGCAGCAATGCCATCAACATTGGCCTAACCACCCTGCCACCTGTGCATGTCATTAAGGCCGCTCTGCTCAACTTCGATGAGTTTGCTGTCAGCAAGGATGGCATTGAGGTGTGGATACCCACCTAGGGGTGTTAGAGGGAGGAAGGAGGTCTGGCCCTCTCCTTTGGTCCGTGGGTATTGCTCATCCCTCCAGTGGTGGGATGGCCTTAGCATTTTTTGTAGGGCAGTACCTAGACCCTGGGGCTCTCCTAGATGACCTTGGGAAGAATCAAGACCAATGCCTGAGCCCTCAGGTCAGCACTGAGGGGCCTATGTGGGGGGTGGCTGCATCCCCAGAAGCTACTGACCATGATGCCCACGGAGGAGGAGCAGCAGAAGATCGAGGAAGCCCAGCTAGCCAACCCTGACATACCCCTGGGCCCAGCCGAGAATTTCCTGATGACTCTCGCCTCCATCGGGGGCCTGGCTGCCCGCCTACAGCTCTGGGCCTTCAAGCTGGATTATGACGGCATGGAGCGGGTACCTGGGTCATGGAGTAGGACAGGCAGTGGGGACAGGTGAGCTTAATGACTGTAGTCCGAGTCTCTGGTCTCCCATACCAGGAAATAGCAGAGCCACTGTTTGACCTGAAAGTGGGCATGGAACAGCTGGTACAGAATGCCACCTTCCGCTGCATCCTGGCTACCCTGCTAGCTGTGGGCAACTTCCTCAATGGCTCCCAGGTGAGCAAGAGTACACGGGAGGTAGGGGTTGGAGCTCTAGAGCCAGGCAGGCTCGGGCTCAGATGAGGGTCCTTTCAGAGCAGGGGCTTCGAGCTGAGCTACCTGGAGAAGGTGTCAGAGGTGAAGGACACAGTTCGCCGGCAGTCACTGCTGCACCATCTCTGCTCCCTGGTACTCCAGACCCGGCCTGATTCCTCCGACTTGTACTCAGAAATCCCTGCCCTGACTCGCTGTGCCAAGGTTAGCACCAGCCAGAGATTCAACTAAGACTGGCCAAGGTAGAGGGAGTGTTCTTCCCAGGCCGCTTCCTCTCTTCTCCCCATTTGAGCTGCTGTGCCAGGGCTTGCTCAGGCTACAGGTGTGTGAAGTATGTCCTCTGCCAGAAACTCTATTGGCTGGCCACCCCTACTCAGTCTTTGGGTGTTGGTCAGTGTAGCTGCTGCTACTTCCCCATGAACGCTTTTCTGTTCCCCACTGGGTCAAGTGGTCTGGTCTTGCCTCTTGCATCAGATTGTTTTGACGAGCAGGACTCACCTGTCAGCTGTCCCAAAGGCCCAGGCTGGTGAGCCTCGCAGAGGCAGCTTTAGGCAGTCTTGTCTATGGGGGAGATAGCACATGCACCCCCTTGCTTTTCCAGGTAGACTTTGAGCAGCTGGCTGAGAACCTGGGGCAGCTGGAGCGCCGGAGTCGGGCAGCTGAGGAGAGCCTGCGGGGCTTGGCCAAGCATGAGCTGGCCCCAGCCCTGCGTGCCCGTCTCACTCACTTCCTGGCCCACTGTGCCCGCCGCGTTGCCATGCTAAGGGTAGTACACCGGCGTGTCTGTAACAGGTAGGGGTACAGGCCAGGGAGAGGCAGGACTGCTACCACCAGCCCTTAAGCACCAAGCACTCCTCCCACTCCACCCTGCCTAGGTTCCATGCCTTCCTGCTCTACCTGGGCTACAGCGCACAGGCGGCCCAGGAAGTGCGCATCATGCAGTTCTGCCACACACTGCGGGAGTTCGCCCTCGAGTATCGGACCTGCCGGGAACGGGTGCTGCAGCAGCAGCAGAAGCGAGCGACCTACCGTGAGCGCAACAAGACCCGGGGACGCATGATTACTGAGGTAGGTACCCTTTGTGGTCTCGACTACTACCCCCAGGATTTCCTTTACTCCCAGCTCATCCTTCTCTCTTCTCCAGACAGAGAAGTTTTCAGGTGTGGCTGGCGAAGCTCCCAGCAATCCATCCGTCCCAGTGGCCGTGGGCAGTGGGCCAGACCAGGGTGATGCTGACAGTCATGTCAGTATGAAAAATCTACTGATCAGCAGGCCTGAGAACACCACACATAGCCGGCGCAGCAGAGGTAAGACCTGTAGCCACTGGAGGGAATGGGTTCTAGGGCCCCCTTGGCCTGACCTCCCTAACTGGCCTCCCTCAGGCATGGCTCAGAGCAGCTCTCCAATCATGCCCACAGCAGTGGGGCCCTCCACTGCACCCCCAGAGGAACCCCCAAGCTCCAGTCTGCCCAGTGACCCATCAGATGAGATCATGGACCTGCTGGTGCAGTCAGTGACCAAGAGCAGTCCTCGTGCTTTAGCTGCTCGGGAGCGCAAACGTTCCCGCGGCAACCGCAAGTCTTGTGAGTACTCCCTCCATGCCCGCTGCCTGGCTTATCTCAACAACCCCCTCCAACCCTGCTCTGTTCCTGCAGTGAGACGGACACTGAAGAGTGGGCTCGGAGATGACCTGGTGCAGGCACTGGGACTGAGCAAGGGTCCTGGCCTGGAAGTGTGAAGGTGCTGCCTTCGGGAAACTTATCTGGATCCCAGACTGCAGTGCAAGAGACTATAGGAGGGCCCAGAGTGGAATTCTGGTCCAGGAGCCAATGCCTTAAGCAGTATTAGCTGTGTGTGTGTGTGTGTGTGTGTGTGTGTGTATGCATGCATGAGTTCCCTGAACTCATGAAGCAAAATAAAATTTTCCTAGCTAATCCAAGAGACTTTTTCTTCTGTCATACCTCATCCCTCATGGTCACTCACACAACCATTAGCCACATTCTAAGTCATTTATTCAACAATCCTGTACCTCAGATTGCTTTTGACTCCTGGACTAGGCCCTCAGTACTCCAGGCATGAGGGCCATGCAGCCTGATAGAGCCACCCAGGGCCCAGCAGCCTATGGCCACAACGTCAGTGACTACAACCGCTTCATCTGCCGCCGCTCCTGTCGGCGCTGCCGTTTCTCGTTGTGCTCTGGTGCTGAGGCCCCACTATCTTCTGTGAACCAGGGGCCTAGCACATTCACCCACAGGAGGTAAAGGGCCCGGCCCGGAGCCTAGGAGATAAAGAGGGAACTTGAAGCCGTGCAGGGCATGAATGATGTGGAGGGTTAGACGTCCCTTCTTGGGAGCCCCCACCAAGCCCACGTACCAGAAGCCAGAAAGACCAGATGTAGAGGGAGAAGCAGCTGAGCACCTGCACGATGGCTGTCAGCAGGATCACATCCTTAAGGTGCCTACAGATAGAAGGGAGGCTGCCAATGACAGTAGTTGGGGCCCCAGTTTAGCTCCCTTCCACCCTCTTCCAAGTTGTAGGTTAACAGTGGGTCCTGGGCTATCTGGGCCCCAGCGTCCCAGCCCTGGGGCCGCTCACCTGGGCTGGCGGTGGGGGACACTCACTCTGCCATGCCCTGTTCCATGTTGAGGTCCATGCCACCATCCATCAGGGCCCCATCCTCAGAGAAGGCTGCCCGTGCCATGGAGCTCATAGAGTGGTAACTGGCCCCATATACTGCCAGACTGAAGCCCAGGGCCATCTGCAGAGCAAGAATGGAGGTATCAAAGGCCAGACTTCCACCCCATGTACTCATTCACTTCCCAGGACCGGACACTTACCCAGGCCCAAAATGAGGCAGATGAGTAGAAGAAAACCAAGGTGACAAGGCAATAAATGGCCTGCAAATAAACACAAGATCAGGCTAGGGCCAAAAACTACTCCCAAACTATGAGCCTCCCTCAACTCTGACCAAAAATGATGGGAGGAACTGGACTGTTGTCCTTATAGGGCTGAGAGAAGGGCCCTACTCCTTGAATATTATATACTCAGACTCTCCCCTGACACCCAGGTCAGCCCAGGGAAAAAAACCCTTGTATATCTGGAGTGAGAACAGCTCTCAAATCCAGCTGGGTTTCTCTTATTTCTTTTATTTTGTGTTCAGCCTTTCCGAGTCTGCACTCTCTGTGCTAGGATCCTCTCTCATTTCTTTTTCTGTTTTTTTTTTTTTTTTTTTTTTTTTTGGGGGGGGGGTTTCAGAGAGCGTGTGCGTGGAGAAGGAAAGAGGGAGGGAGAGAGAGAGAGAATCCTTCAATGGAGCCTGGTCTTGTCACAATTCCCTTTCCTCCATTCCTCCTTCTTATCAGGATCTTGGGCATGCGCACACACACCCAGTACGTTTTCCAAGCTGCAGGGTCAGGATTCGAACCATGGTCTGCCATGTGAGATCCAGCTTCTTCCACACAGAGCTTAACCACTGTGCATTGGGGGCAGCCCTGACATTTCATTTTCACTGGAATTCTCTTCTGGAGCCTGGCAACTGTATACCACCACTCCTCACTAAACAGGACCGAGGACTGCAGGACTGGGAATAGGCACAGAGGCAAGGAGGCAGACACTTACATTAGCTCCCAGTATGATCCGCAGGTAGAACTTCAAGGTCTCTCTGTTCTCTTCAAATATTTGCTTCTTCCCTCTGGTGCCCACTTTGCCCTTGGGCTGCAGAGGGATGATGACATGCCATCAGAGTCCATCTCTGCCAGGATCCTCCTCACACTCCACCAGTTCCTCTGTACCTCGGCCATCCCGTGGAGCTCAAACTTAGCATCAGCCCTGGGAGGTTATCCTTCCTCCAGTCCACCCTGCCTAGGGCTGACACCGTCTTCCCAGTACCCCGTTATCGCTGCTTCCTGCTCGCTCTGGAACAATTCGGTCCTAAGCTAACATCTCTGGCTCCCCTGGTAAGGTCCAGCTTTGGGCTGACGGGCCATCCAGGGGTACTCCTGAGTGGAGGTGGATGGTGCCCTTTTCCAGCCTCGGCTGGAGCAGTCCAGAGTTGGGCTGACGCTCACCCGGCTCAGATCGCTCAGATCTCTGGCCTGCCCTAGAGCTGTCTGGTACTGACGCCCACCCACTTCCAGCCCTAGTTCTGCTACCGTCCTGCGCCGCCTTTCCTATCGCCCTGCTGCCGCTCTAGTACCGTCTGCCATTGGATGGGGGGCCCCCCC